TGTCGTAGGATGTTTCGTAGCGGGCATCCGCAATGGCAACCATCACCCCATTCACGTTAACAAGGGTGGGAATGCGGAACGAATGAACTACCCGCTCCCTGACCGTGCCATTGTTGTCCTCAAATGGCACCGTGGAATTCTTCTGCTTAAAGAGTTCAACTCGGCTTGATCCGGGCGCCAAGGCGCTGGCGGGCTCGCTGGCGCAGGCCATGAGGAAAAGCGGCACAAAAGCCACTAGCCAGGGCATCCTATTGTCCCTGAAGACTCTCTGTTCCGCAGTGGGTGGTACTTGCCGGTGTGTTCTGTGAGCGGTGGTTTGCGATGTCGTATTATGTTTAGAAATAAAAATATCAGCAGGGCTGTCTTTTGGCAGGGGGAAAATTGCAGAGGCAGCGGGAAAAGAAGGAGGTAACACACAAACTGCGGCAGTTCCGGAGCAGTGGGGACCGCCCTTGCAAGACAGCTCATAACTTCGGCAGCACGCCATTGGCAGGTACTGGCGAGGAAACTTGCGTTGCTCTCATTTTTGATTTTTTACTTTTTTTTTTGTTGTTCTTGTGTGTGGGGTGATGTCTTCAGTTTTGAGGAAAGAGCCGCACGCGTAAATTTCCTGCCCTCACCTCGGTTTAACCGACGTACAGGAAGCCGAGTATGCGACTGGCTGTTTTTCGTCTTTTTTTTCTTTTTTTTGCGCTGCAGACTCTCTTGTGTGGTGTTTCTCCCCTTTTTTATCAGCGCCACGAGACATGCACTTCATCGGTGCGGAACCGTTGTGTGATGGTGGCATTTGGCAGTGGTGTGAAGCCCCCAGCCATATACTCAAGAAGGCCAGCGTAGGCAATCATACAGCCGTTGTCAATGCAGTAGCGAGCATCCATGTCGTGGCATTGCCCTCCGCGAGACTTTGCCATCTCCCGCATCATTTCCTGCAGTCGCAGGTTGCATCCGACACCGCCGACAATGAGTACCTCGTTGGAGGCGCACTGCGCCATGGCTCGCTCTGTGACCTCTGCCAACACGGCAAACATTGTTTCCTGGAGGGAGTAGCAGATATCATCAATGCCAAAAGGCTCATCGACGGCACTGTGAACCCCGTTTGGCAGTGCGCGTCGCTGCGTGCACGTCGACGACAACGCGGAGGGGCTCACGGTTGCTAGACACTTGTCCTTGTCCTTGAACTTTGGATGGTGCAAAAGCGCCTCTACGAAGGACAGGAGACCGGTGAAAGACATGTCCATTCCCTTCACAATGTAAGGAAGTTCAATGAAGAGTCGTCCGCGCTTGGCGCACTGTTCGATGTTGTATCCGGGCGCGGGATCGTTGGAGAGCCCAAGCAGCCGCGCCGTGCGATCCAGGCAGTTACCCACCGCAATGTCAATGGTCTCCCCAAAGATACGGTAGCGGTGCTCTGCGTAGGCAATCACCTGTGTATTGCCCCCACTCACGTACAGCACCACTGGGTTCTTGCACCCCGTTACGACACGCCCCATCTCAATGTGCCCGATGCAGTGATTCACACCAACCAGTGGCACAGACCACAACAAGGAAAGAGTTTTGGCGACGGTGCAGCCTACTGCGAGTGGCGCCCCCATGCCTGGTCCTTTCGTATAGCAGATGACGCTGATGTCGGAGGGACGCACCTGCGCAGCCGTCAACGCGGCCTGCACCAGACGCAGGATGTGTGTCGTGTGGTGTTGTGCCGTATCCCGCGGCAGAAAACCCTTCCCGGCGGGGGTGATGTACGTCTCGCGCTCGTTGGAAAGCACGTTTCCCGCCGCATCCACGATTCCCACTCCAATTTTGTTTGCACTTCCTTCAATGCCCAACGCGAGGGTCCGCCGGGTGCCGGCTCTGGTCATTTCTTCCTAGCACGTGGGGTTCTAGACGGATGCTTTTTGGTCGCACGTTGCTCAGCTGTCTGTCTGTGTGTGTGTGTGTGTGTGTGAAGGGAAACAATGAGCACTTCTATGTTTGCGTTTGCAGCGGCTGATGGAGTCGAGAAGAGGTGGAAAAGAGCCACCAGAGAAACACACAAACACGTAAATAGGCGTAGACAAAAACGGCGACGCGCGCCACGGCAAGTCTGTACGCCCAATTTTCTCCAAGAGACGCGCGAGGCAACACTGTTTTGCTCCAATCCCTCCCGCGCGTTGCAGGGTGCGAGGAGAAGACAAGAAACGATTGCCACCTGCACCTCCTCCTCCTCCCCCGCTGCCAATGATACACACACCGCGAGAACGGCCTTGTCCCGGGGCAGAGGACTCCTCGATCGCGGTCTCTGCGTCCGTCCGCGTGGTGGGTGCGACAGCCGCCGTCTCTCCTCTTCTCATCCTCCGCCGCATACGACCCACCGCAACAGCATCAAAAAGAGAAGAGAGAAAAAAAAAAGTGGGGGAACGAAGTCGAGTGCTCCCCACCACCCAACACAACGCCAACACCGTCCAACCCCTGCAATACCCTTCTCTCTCTCTCTCTCTCGGTGTATGCACTTCCCCCTCCTCATGTGTTGTCGCGCATGCCAAGTTGCCATCGGCTGGCGCGCGAGATGATACGCATTTTCTCGGTCTGTCGCTTCTGACGCTCAGCGTGGCCCTTCCAACGTCGCAGCTGCGCGGCGGCGGGGGAGTACAACGCGGTGGCCATTTGATACGTACTGACTGGCCTCTCCGACACCGGCGCAAAGGCGGCGGAGTAGCCGATGGAGTCCGCGTACAGCTGTTTCTGCAGTTGTCGAACGACGCGCGAGAGACGCCACATCCTGCAGTGTGCCTTGCTACGTTGCGCTGGGACCTTGCATTCCAACCGAGAAGCAACAGAGAGCAGGAAAAACGAAACAAGCGTGCCACGGTTTGGGGTGGGGGGGGTCAGTTGCCGGCTCCCCCAGCCAGAAAGAGGGAGAACGAAAAATACAGACACGCACGCGTAGGGGGGTGGGGAAGCAGCGAGAAAGATGCACTTCTCTCCTGCTGTTCGTCCTCTACTCAATACGCGCAAGCACACAACAGCACAAACAAAACGCAAGACACTCACCTTACTTTGTCCTCAGCCTCGCAAAAGCGTCCTGCCTTGGTGGGATACGGTGGACAAAGACAAGAGAGAAATAAGAAAAGCATACGGTCTCATTGATGTTATTTTCTTTTCTTTTTTATTTTCCTCTTCCTTCCCTCTCTTCTTCGTTGATTTCGTGCCGCTGCACCCTGTTCCTGCGGCCTTCAACGTTAGTAGTACTGGGCCTCAAACTGAGGTGGCTCCACCTCATGCCGTTTGCTAACAAAAGATATGGCGAAGCATGCCAGCAGAAATGGAAGCAGAAATGCAACCTTAATGCTCTCCAGGAAGTGCATGTTAAAGCTCAGGGCGAGGCTGTCCTCATACTTCTGCCCATTTGGCAGCGTCATCACCACGGAGAGGGAAGCGTACATCCTTTCCAGCGGGGCATGCAGCTTGATGGCGTAGGTCCCAGGGGCTTCGTACATTTTCTTGTGCACCAGAACACGTGGGCCAATGGTGATGGTGAGGCCGTAGCGCCGCCTAACCTCCTCCCCGCGTCGCTTGTCGTAAATGGTCACGAGCACAACGAACCGATCCCCGCGGATGTCGCGCGACACACGACTACTAGGATGAATGAAGACCCCAACGTACCCCTCGGAGGCCGTGAAACCGTTTGTGGACTTCACGCGGCTATTCCACGCCTTAAGGGGGTGAAAGGTGGCCTGTGTCTCAAACACCATGACGCTCCCGCTCAATGTGCTCACAACGAGGTCCAGCTTGCCGTTACCTGTCATATCATCGGCAAGAACCATGGTAGAGGATTTCTCATTGATATCAATGCCATCCACACAGCCCGTGGTACCGCTCACAATGTACAGCACCCCATCGTGTGAGGGGACTACAAGGTGCAGGCCCTCGAAGCCTTGCTGCGTCGAAGGTTGTGTGTCGTTGAGGTTTACAGGCAGCGGTGGGGCGAGAATGGGCCCCTCGGTTGCAATGGGAAAGTGCGGCAGTACCTCACCGTTGTGTCCCCGCACCGCATAGAGCAAACCGGTGGTGGTGCCAAACGTCAAATCAATGGCCCCGTCCCCGTCTACGTCACCGTAGGTAATGTGTTCACCGACCGCGCCAGAAAACGTCATACTCCACAGCTGTTTTCCCTTTGCTGTGAAACACGCCACGTTGCCGCCAGTGTCACCGGCGCACACATCCAGCAGACCGTCAGCATTTACGTCCTCCATTGAGGCCGAGGATGCGATGGGGCTGTTCATCCACACCGGCCAGCCCTCAAGCTGCTTGCCGCGCCCGCTAAAACCAAAAATGGCCCCGGCCGTCGTAGTGACATAAATATCCTGTTGGTTGTCCTCATCAGGGTTGGCAACCACGGGCGACGAGAGTGCGTAGGCCGGGGTAGTGTCGTTCTTTCGTGTAAGGTGCAAGACCCGCATCCACCGCACCTCCCCCGTCACGAGGTCCAGCACCATGAGCACGTCCGCCACGTAGTCGTCGACGTCAATACCAGACGGGAGGAGTTCCGCCTTCTCGCCCTCGTACGCCTTCATGTCGAAAAAGTAGCTGAGGTGCAGCACAATATCGAGATCGCCGTCGCCGTCCACGTCCACAATGACTGGTGTGGACATGATGTGGGGGTCCACCGCCACCTCGTCCTCAGCCACCACCACCGTCGTCGGGTTTCGCATGTTACGAAAGTTAAAGGCATCATGCTCGCCCTCGTAGTTCACGCTACTCTTGTAGAGCTCCGGGTGGTACAACATCTCCATCGACGCCTTGGCCTCCGGACTTAGCCAACCCTCCGCCCCAATGCCCTGCTGCAGCTCCATGTCCCCAACCGCCATGTTGTCATCATCGAAGAAGTCGTCAAGGTCGTCGATTTCAACCGCCGGTTTGTTGGCCTGGTCGTGTACCCAGTTCTCATCCTCCACGCCCCCTTCCCTGCCTCTCCTCACCGCGACCTCCGCGAGATGACGACGCTGCGGTGCGGCGGGTGGCCGAAAGTCCTCATGCGCTTGAGTGGCATTTGAACGGTTGTCGTCGCTGGCGTTATGGCGCATGGGATAAAAACGCGGCGTCATATCCACCATCCGTCGTGCACGCATGATGCGGTCCAGGTCCTCCTCGGAGTGCCGCACAGGCTTAACCTTAAAACTCACCGCCTCACCACTGGTGAGGTTTTTCTGAACCCAGTTCTTTTTGATGGGCAATGAGGGTACCTGCACCGCCCCACGTGCTTTTCCATCCTCACCAAACACCATCAGCTCGCCGGTGTGCATGGCGACAAGCCACTCTGTCTTGCCGTCACCGTCCATGTCGACCGGAATGGGACTGGCGTAGGACTTGAAGTTGGGGTGCACGAACGGGAAGCCGATTTCATCGTCTCCGTTGACGCCGTCAATAGCCTCCAAGTACTGCGTGTATGTAGGAACCAGGATCTCCTTGTTGCCGTCGTGGCTCAAGTCGACAATGCGGGGGGTGGCGAGCACGCTGCTTCCCACCCGCACCGTCCACTCCAAATTCACACCGGAGCGGCACGTGTTGGAGGAATTGCCAGCTGCGCCAACGGGCACACCTTCCTGCGCCATCACCTCCTCCGGTAACAACCGCCTGCGTGGCAGCTTCTGCACCAGCGGCTCCGACCACTTGATGGGTGCGGCACTCACAGCAACGGCCATAATGCCCACAAAGAGAAGAGTGGCTGTGACCCCCATGCCAGCAGCAGTGCAGCCACGCGCCGCGCCGCTGGCGCACACCCGATGCGACGGGCGATATTTCATTTTCTAAAGAATGTTTGTTTGATTTCCTTCGCGTTTAAAAAGCGTGTTTCTCTTTTTCTTTTCGTACTGCCTCCCTCTCCGCCTTTCCTACCCAAACCCAGGCAATTAACAAAAACGAAGCGAGGGAAAGATAGAACAAAAAAAAAAGAGATAGATTGTGTGTGTATGTGCGTGTGTGTGTATGTGCGTGTGTGTGTATGTGCGTGTGTGTGTGTGTGGGCGGGTGGGTGAGTGGGTGCAGCCGCACGCTGAAGCCACGTGAGGTATATGTGGGGAAATCCTCAACCAGCAACAAGAAAAGGGGGAAGAATAAGTCGTGGCAAGCAGCAGCGGTAATCACCGTGGAGCGGCGACTCCTTTTACCCTTGACGTGTACAACCCTGTGCCACGATGGAGGAAACAGGCATGGCGTCAAAGCCTTTGAAAGGGGTCCCGAAAATATGGCAGAGGGAGTAAAGAATCTACTACAACCAGATAAAAGACGATGGGACAGGGTGGGTGCAGGTCAGATAGGACTGGTATGGATAGCGTTCCTGCTGGTCTGCACCCACCTCTTCTTCACGGATACAACTACCGGGGTGCGACAGCTGCCCCTTTCCCCACCCACTTGTTACTTCTCACGACACCCCCCCACCCCAACACCACCACCACGCATTTACAACAAATGTTAATTAAGCGTTCTACCCCGCCCCGCACACCCACTGGTCAAGTGAAGAGGAGAGAAGTACCAACTGCGGCAACAACATGGAAGTGACACCACAACCCCCTATTTTCTTTTATTATTCCCCTTCTCCTCGCGTGTGTGTCATCCCTCCACCTGCATGTCCCCTTCGCCTGCCGCGCCGGGGGTGGCATAGCTGCTGCTTCGGTGCTTTGGCGTGAACCTGAACTTGTCCCCAGCCGGACCAAGCAGCAGCTCACTAATGCGAATCCAGTCCGTCACGTTGTCGCTTGCCATCAGCGTCTCCAACTCGTCACGGCCCTCGTAATACGGTGGTCGTTCATTGATGCGCTGCGGCAAACGCTCGAGCAACCCGACAGGGACGTAACGGTACAAGAATGAGAGCCACTCGCAGAGAAAACGGCGTGTTGTCAGCACCCCGCGTTCATCTGAGCCCCAATGTAAGAGACCGTAGTCGCAGAAACGCCGTAGCATTTCAAAGCGCTCATGACTACTAATGTCCCGCGGCTGTTTCGTCTTTATTTCCTCAAAAATCCACGGCTTGATGAGCGCGCCACGTCCAATCATGTAAGAGGTGACGTGCGGGGAGCGTGCGCGGTGGTCGACGACGTCCTCGTAGGAGAAGATGTCACCATTGCCAATGACAGGCAAGGTTGTCCGTGTCGCGCAGTCTTCAACGTATGCCCAGTTTGCCAGCTTTGTGTAGCGTTGTTTCCGCGAACGACCGTGAATGGTGACGGCGGCGGCGCCCCAGCCCGCATACTCGGCAATTTGTTTGTGCAACAGCGGGGCCTCCTCGTCAGGCCCTATGCGGCACTTGATGCTGACAGGCTTTGACTGGTGCTGCACCAGCGAGTGCACGACGTCCCGCAGACGGTTGCCCTTCCGCTCCCAGAGCCCACAACCACAGCCCGAAAGCACAAGCCGCTCGACGGGACAACCACAGTTAATGTCGATGAAGTCGTACGAATAACCCGACGACTGGATGGCCTGCGCCCACGTCAGGGCGTCCTGCGGGCGGGATACGGCAATCTGCAGACCAAAAATATCCTCCGAAGCGTGACGCCGCAGCAGCGACCATTCCGCCTTTTGTAGACGGTTGAGGTTGTGTACAATCGCCATCTCGCTCACTGTGACATCCGCCCCGTACTCTTTACAGATGCGACGGAACGGGAGGTTTCCAACGGTGGTGAGAGGCGCCAGGACGAGTTTGTTTTCAAATAGCACCCGACGCCGCGCGCTGCCTTCACGCATGTTTTCTTCACTCCCTCCCATTCGTGGGAAGTCACCATTCTTAGTGGCGTCACACGCATCCTCGTCGATGTGCTGCACTACCGCCCTCTCAGCGTGGTTGACTCCTTTTTCAGCAGCAGCAGCGGTGCCTGCTTCACCCACCCGCGCCTCCCCCTCAGCAGGGGGCCGCTTATTGTCCTCCTCCCCCTCCTTTGCTCCATCGCGACCGCGCTTTGCCCCCGCGTTACCCTGCCGCACCACAGCCTTGATGCGCCTGAGGATTTCGCCGTGAAAAAAGTTAGACTCTCCCTCAAATGCGGGACGTTGCGTCCCCGCCACAGCGCACGAGCGCTGTCGCTCGCTGCCTTTGTTCATGCCTCGCGTACGTCCCTCCACGTCAAGAGTGACGCGCGCTGGGGCGGAGCGCAGGTACTCCGCCTTCACGGGGCACACCCCGCGCGGGGCAGCGGTGGGGGCGCCGTCGTCGTCCGTCACGGTGCTGCACGGGGCGACACCCACGCACGGCACAGAGTCGCTCATGTACGCCACCTGCACACACGCACAACTGTACTTGCCTCTTTCGGTGGTTGCCGCTACGCCGTGCGCCTCCCTTTTTGCTGTTCCTTTCCCTACCGCTTGGAGGGTGATTCTCACGTCAGCCGTACAGACGCAAAAAAGAAACGCGAAGAGTGGGAGAAAGTCAAAAAGTAAGAAACGGAAGTGTGGCGTGCGTGCGCAGAGGCTGACGCGCGCCGCCAAACGCCCGTGCAAAAATTGCGAGTTCAGCCAAAACACAACAAGTGGAGCATACGCAAATCACAAAAACAAAGGGCGGAGGAGGGGTTAATAGAAAAGTTACAAAAACAACTCACAGGAATAAAAAGACAAACAGACAAAACATATATATGTATAGAGAGAGTGCGTGTGTGTTTCGGAGGGGACAAAACACAGAGCGATGTGGCCGCTGCGTGGAAGCAATAAAAGAAAAACACAAACAACGTCGGAGCGAAACAAATCGTCAGCACTGCAGGCGCCCCACGCAAACATAAAGCGCGACTCACTTCGTGAAGGGCATGAAGGGAGAAGAGCAAGGGAGAAGGGGGCGAGGAAGCGAGGGGTGCGTGTCTTCGCTACCGATGCTCGCGGAGGCAGGCAGTATAGAGCGCAATGCCTGCACATGGGCCCACTGGTTCCAGGCTTCGGGGGTCGCTGGGAGCTCCTTTTTCTTTTCCCGTGCCACATCGCCGCCGCCCTCCCCCTACACGCCGCGCAGTGCACTGGGCACCGAATTAGGCGGGTAAGAGAGGTAAACAAAGTAAAGGGTGAGGCTGAAGCCCGGACCGGCAACATTACAGCAAACGAGGAGTGCCCGCAAGCAAAAACAAAACAAATCAACGGTGGGAGGTAAATCCCCCGCGTGACTGGTTGAGTCCCTCCTTCCCCACCAACTGCGGCTTCGTCACGGGGGAAACCACTCGCCGCTTCGTCTACGTTCTCCTTAGCGGGTGTTCGCTTACAATTACCATCCAGGTCGAGGTTGTCACACACGCAGACGTTGGCGATCGGCACAAAGGCAACGATGGGGCTGACCAGTGTAATGGCAAAGTAGTCAAGCAGCAGCAGCATTGGCACGTTGCTAAAGTCACAAGGAGGCCTGGTCGAAATGGGGTATGCGTACTCCATCAGAATGAAGCCCATATTGCTCGGCAGAGCCTGTCCAAGGTTACCAGACCCACCGAGGAGGGCGTACATGATATTATCCATACCATGTAAATAGACACGTGAAACAAGAAGAATAAACGACATCCAGCTGAGGATGTGGCACACCTCATACACGATCTGGTCACCCAAGAAGTACATCACGTGGCCATTGATGCCCACCGTCACATCCCATCGTTTGACGGTAATGACGTCGAAAACGCCTCCCAGAATTTGCACACACACACACACACACACCCCTCATCAAAAGAGTAAAAGTGAAACGGTAGCCTGGCTTAGAGAAGACGCGCACAAAGAGCGTCATCCCCACAATGCCCGCGATGTTACCAATCAGGGTCCCAATCGTGTTATATAAAAAAAGAGATTGAAGTGCGGGTCGTCGGGGAGGTACTCCAGCGTTGCCACGCAAAAGCTCTGTAGTGCACCCGGTAACTGGCGATAAGTCGTCATGTGCACAAACACCTACACGTTGGCCTTCGTGATCACCGGGGGCAGGGCGTGGAAGCTGAAAAGACCAACGGAGACGGAAATGGTTGAGGCGGCGATGGTGAGATCCAGCGTGCCTCCAGCAATCGTCACAACCGTGACTCTCACCACTCCAACGGTCATCAGAACCGTGTAGGCAAAGACCCTTTTGCTTTGGCTAACGACTTCTTATTCACCCCCACAGCGCCAAAGTGGCACGTGGAGACGGACAACTCCCCTTCAAGTCCCTCTGAAGCATCGTAGAGCGCCGTATTCGCGTCAAGGCCAACCACCTTGCCCGCCTCCACCAGCTCAGTACGCACCATCCCCACTTCGGGGGCATCGTCCTGGGCCTTCAGCAAAACTTCTTGTGCCGCTCGGTGGTCCTCCAAGCGTTCCACACGGTTGGGCCTTTCCTCGGAACCGTTGAAGACTGAGAAGACGGTTGTGGTCCACTGTAAGACTACAGAGATGTACACACCAATGTGTTGCATCCTGGCGTCAGGAAAAGACCCCTGAATTCAGCCACAATAGAGCCGATCACAGTGAACCACCACACTCAACATCCCCACCGCCAGCATTCGCTGATACTTCATTCCTGAAACTCCATAGCTACACGTAAACATGGGGAATATGGAGAAAATAAGATAGTCAGCGACCCCTTTGCACACGAACTGTATCATGGCAAACGAACCGACACACCGTGGGCCAAAGCCTTTTGTGGCTTTCCCAAATACAGGCATCTTCCAAAGGAGTGGTAAGAGGTCAAAAGGCTTCCTCGTCGAGGGGTGGACGTGAACAGATTGCACTTCCTGGAAGGCCAACAGTGGAGGATCGGCCTCGACCTATCGGGTCGTTGGTGGTGTCCTTCGCATCACACATTTTGCGGGCCTAGCTTCACGGTTGAGAAAAAAAAAGCAATAAAAAATAAAACCAAACAGATAAGCTCTTGTAGGACACTGAAACAACAATAGTCACAATAACACCTGACGGCACCCGTACGCCAGGCCTGCGGTGCCTCTGACACAAAGTACAAGCTTCCGGCACGGAAGGAAAAACTGGAACCTTCTCTATGGGACATACGACGCCTCCCCCGCTTGCTTCATATTCGGCCTCTTTCCGAGGCGGCGCCTCTGTGCAACAGCTCAGTAGTCACAGAGGCGAGGAAAAAAAGAGAATTTCACTTGGGGGGTCCAACCCAAAAAGTTTAAAAACAAATAAAAAAATACAAAAAAGAAAAAAAAACGGAAAAGAAAATTATTCGATAACGCACGAGAACTCCTCTTAGAACACCGTAGAAAGAAGTAGGCCAGTCAATTTTGTTATTGGTTCAGGACCATTCTGCATCGCCTAATGGTCACACAAAGCAGAAATAAAGAGCAAAAAAAAAAAATACAGCAAGAAAAAAACGCTGAAACATTAATTTGAACAATTTGAGTACCTCATGATACTTTTGAAAGGAGAAAAAACAAGATAGTTATTTTTCTGATACGCAAAACGTATGTAAACAGGCGCACAGGATCAGGGGTGATCACATGTGCATCATTGTAAGAGACGATCTCGGCGCAACGCTAATAATTAACATCTGCAAACAAAATACGCAAATATTATTATGTCATGCACTGATTCGTTTCCTCTACGTCGCGGCATTCCGTTTCTTCTTTGTTACCACCTGCTGAGAAGCCTTAGTGGTGTTTGAGCCAACCTGAACCTTATCCAGCTTATCCGACATTTGCAGTTGATGTGTCTTTGAAGTTCCATAACACACATTAATAAACAAACAAACAGAAGCAAAAAGGGAAAAAACAGCATCTATACAAAATCAAAAGCAAGAAAAAAAAACAATCACAATAAATTACATCATAAGGGAATCAGTACCAGTAGTCGGACAATAAACCTGCAGCATCAATATTATTATTATATATATCGCCTCCTGCATATTTTTTCTTTCTTTCCTTCTCACCCGAAGATCCCCACTGGCCAGCACATACCCAAGCATGTATGAGGCCACCGACACTTGAGTTCATGCCATAAAGTCAGTGTCTTTTATCATTTAATCCCTGCTATATTTTTTTGCTAATTTCCTCGTCCGCCTCTACTTGTTCTTGTAATTGAGATACATTCATACCAATATCAGAAGGACCAAATTTAAGAGGGATGAGATCGCATAGTTTTAACACTTTTGCATGCTGCCTGTCCAGGGAAACCAAGACGACAAGAAAGCTTTCGTAGTTGTTGGATAGATCCGCAACTTCGACGAGTGACTGACGACAAACCCCACACGGTGGCGTGAGTGTGTCAGGAGGTGGTAAACTCTTGGCATTTGACGTCTTACTGCGCCCATATATGGCAACTGCTGTGGCCTTACGAAGTCCCTCGGAATTACTCTTCACAATGGCGCAAAGCTCAGCACAGCAGCTTTTCAAAACACAATTTTCATAGTTGCACCCTGTCGTAATTTTTAAATCATTATGAAGGAGAGCAGCCCCCACGGCAAAGTTTGAGTACGGACAGTAGGCCTTGCGGTGAGCATCGATGGCGCCACGAGCCAGACTTTGCAACTCCACCGGTAGCTGGGCCAGGGGTATCAGGCTGTTTAGCTTTAGCCCCGCCGGCCACATGTTGTTCATGTCAAATAATAAATATTAGTACGCACAACATGTATGTAGGAAAACAGCAAACAAACAAACATGATTAACAACAATGTTATTAATAAGCAAGTAATTAATAAATAAATTACAAAAAAAAACAATGTAATAATACCAAAACATATCCAAAATATTCTCAACTTTCACCCTGTGTTACCATTCAATTATGGCCCCATCTAATGGGTTCAACCCCAAACGTCTTAGTGTACTCCAATAAGCCCTACAAAAATACACAAGGACGTTTTCCACAATTTTAGTTGAAACACAAGAAAACAAGAAAGATGTCATCTCTGGGGATGTACCTTCAACATACTGTAAACTTTGATTAACACTTGTTTCCAACTCAACCTCTCTGAAATAAGCACCGTCGCCTCTCGGTGAAAGCACACGCCCAAGCTCTACTGCATCTTGGATGCCAAGAAGTTAACAAAATCCCGGAAAAGATGATCCATAAAGCTCTTAAATACATAGTTCCTGACATAATTCTTCTAAGGCACTCTTGATAATAGCCTGACGAGGTGAATTCGCAACATCTTCCTGGTTCTCTCTGTTCCTCCATTCTCTAGTCTGAGGGGGGAGGTCTGTGTGGTAATGCAGTTAGCATACTAGATGAACTCAAGTCTGAAAGCTGCGGAGGCGGATCTTGATAAGTATTATGACATAAGCACCTGCCACTATCAGCACCTCCAGTAGGATATACTTCATCGTTTGAAGGGCCAATAAAAGCGTCACACATGGTTTCTTCAGTAAATGCAAAAGATTCCGCGTTAAATATGGCCCTAGATGTGTTTATAATTTTTTCAGTTGGTGGAGCAGGAGGAGTGATTGGCACCAGAGAGTTCACCTCTGTTCTATCTAATAACCGCAATACTCATTGTGCAAAATACTCTAAAGAGTGACTGCCATCGGTATTCTGATGCTTGTGCAAACTAAAAACTTCAGTTGCATCGCAACAGGAATTTTGAGTCTCCAACTAACATATATGCCAACTGCGCAAAACCGCTCGCACCCGTAATACTTCTGCCAAATCATCAAATGCTGTTTCGTCTGGAATAACCAGCAAAGCCCAATTAATAAACTCTCTTAAATCACTCAGCGAGAGCAACCCATCCCGGTCACCGTCTAACACAAACAGCAATGACAAATGATGAAGATCGATGCCAGAGAGAAACTCTGGTAAAAACAGCGCTACGGAGCGCAAATCGCTCAGGGTTAATAGGAGGGGGGTAAGCTTTGTTTGTGTACCGAAAAGGGGGTAGAACTCCCCCTTGTTATCTTGGCAACTTCTCCCATGATGAATTTCTCCATTTTTCAGTTCCGTTTGCTCATTTATATATCTTTTAACTGCATTTTATATGCATCAAATTCGAATGAGGATGCCTGCCCCATGCAACATGAGCGTAAAGAAGAAGAGGGGAAAAGAACAAAAAGAAAAAAAATCTGTTCAACCACCTTCAAAAAGAGAAATAAAAAATAAAAAAATCCAATAAAGATGTTCAGAAAAAAATATCAGAAAATGAAAACCATAGCAGTAGTTATTCATCATGTATTCTGTCATACTTACAAGATCCACATAAAGTCTTCGATCTGTTACCTCCACATCAAAAACTCAAATAAAAGATAATGAAAAGAGGAAGAAGAAGAACAAAACTGCAATAAAAAACTCAACGATATATTACTTCTTCTTAGTTACTTTTAAAACAACAATAATAATAATACCAACCAATATAAGCACAGAAAAACAAATTATAATCTTGTCAGCCATCATACGTCGAATAAGTGTCGCAAGCTCCTTCTTTGCTCGATTCACCTCTGAATCCAACTCATCTAAATTCTCATTGACTTGTTGTATTTGTTCCGTCTGACCACGAAGTGTTGTAGAAGCATCTATACCGACTGTTTCTGTGTCATTCAGCAGTCGTTCTGTCACTGCCAGAGAATCCAGTGTCGAAGTTTGAATAGTTTTAACACGCTGCGCTATCGTGTGGGCTTCTTCCTTTCCGTCATTAGTGGATGAGCTTGGGGCCCACATAGTATTTCCCTGAGATGCACCAACAACCGATTCTTCCACTTTTTTTGAGTACAGTTCTCCTTTCAACTGATTAATTCGCAAAAGATGAATTTGGCCCCGCTTTTCATAAACCTCTTGTTCATTGCCTTCTAGCAAGCGCACCTTCACCTTAAATTGGTGGTGCATTTTCTGAAGACGTTTCATGAAATCCTGAGCCCGTTTATACCTTTCTAGCCTTTGATTGGGATTGGCGGTTGAATCCACTGCTTGAAGAAGTACGCTAATTTGTTCTTCAAGTCCCTTCAACTCCTCATCATACATAGCAGCATCAGACATGGTAAGCCAAAACAAATGTGTATACCCCCTACGAGAGAAAAAAAAAAACTGTGAAACGATCCAAGCCAATGTGAAAGAAAATGGGGGATGGAAAATGAGAATGGCATTGGTAAATCAAAAAGAAGTGCCCACCAGAAAGAACACAATGCAACTACTTTTTTTTTTTAAAAAAAAGGAAGAGCAAGTGAAAACAACCTCCGCCCAACGGAACAAGCGCAACAAGCCGCCGCCCCTCCCCTTTGGTACAACGCGTCTTCTGAGAAGGGGGGGGCGCCTTTGGCGCGGCTCGCCCCCAAGAAGGCGGTGGCCCCAAACCAGACCCGAGCGCCCCTCTTTCCCCTACGGGCGCCACTTCGGAGGCACAAGTGAGGTTCCGGCGCTGCCGTTTCTTTGTGGCACGCCGCCCTCTCGCCGTCGTGTCTTGTTTCGTTGTTTTTTTTCTTTTTTTTTCCACGTGCGAGTTTCGTTCGCGCTGCTCTGGTGGAAGGGCGCGCGCCGTGGCGCGAGGTGCCGGGCGGTCTTTTTTGCCGAGGGCGGAGCGGCGCGCCCCTTCCTTCGAGGTGATTTTTTGCGATCAAGTCGGGACGAATCTGCACACTCCATTATGGAGTCTTGATCGGAAAAAAAAAAATGTATCCACTTTGATGACGGCGGTGATAAAACTTCAGTGCACGGCGACACCCGGGTAACGCAAACAGAAGAGAGAAACACCTCGACAAGTGAGGTTTATGATGTTGTCAAATTAGCGAAAGTCGCCTCTCCCACGGTTACATGCTTAGATAAGGTAATTAAAATGAACCTTGTCTCGTTATTGTGGCTTAAGAAACGGAACGGTTGAATGATACCATCTTGTTATCGCCCGCTCCTGATGAATACGCTGCTAACTGTGTTCCACATTGAGGCAGCAGATTTCCATTGGAAGAAGCCATTCTACAGACTACCAATTTTAAAAACAAAACAAGGATGTTATTGCCCATTTGCGTTCGTGAACATGGGGAGATCAGCTTTCCCAAATAAAGCGGCAAAACAAAGGAAGCAAAATAAAACACAGTTAAAAAAAAGGAATTTTATTGTTTTCTTGAGACAGCCCCTTAGGTTTATATAGTTTTACTCTCTTTCTTCACGATGTGTTTGGATGGGGCCTTGAGAGTAAATACTGTATATTTGATTACTTGAGGGAGTTTACTGAAGTCCAACACAATGGAAATGAGGTCTGTAAGGTCATCTCATTTTATGGATGACGAACCTCTCGAAAACATAAATGAAGTGTTATGTATTAACTACCGGTAGTAATTTCTAATTGCTTACACAATTTTCCGTGCATTATTGTGGTGATGACACACTGAAGAGTTAGTGGGGCGTTTTTTTTTGCCCCCATTTTTTACTGGTTGCTGGAAGGCGGGACCCAGAAGTACGTCAAAGCTGCGGGCCAATGTAAATGACTTTTCCGGGAGCGCCTGTATGAGTGCAAATGGATTGTTTGCCCATCTTTAAAAGAAACGAATAATATTAATCCCATGTGCTAGTATTAGAATGGCTCTGATACAAGGAGGGGTTATCCCTCACTATTATTATCATTATTAGGCAAGGCGGCAGCAGGGGCTAGTGGACTATAAGGGCAGCCTTTCATGTATGAGGGTGCCTTGAATTTGTTGATTTGTGCTGAAAAAATATTTTACTTCAATAGCCTTTAAAACACATTGGGGAATGTGTAACACACAAACACAATGCAAAAGTGTTTATGACGGAGATTCGCCCTTGTATTACTTCAGGTAAAAACACCAGGATGACTTTTTTGGGGAGTGCCTTTCACAGTAATGGCAATCACAAGTGTTGTTATTGGAGGGAAGTTTTGTTGTTGTTGTTTTTGTTTTTGCTGTATTAGTGTTAGCTCATTTTCTTATTCGTAATTTGTTTGCGTAGAACGTTTTTTTTTTTGGTGACACGAAGGATGCAAATGATAAGGCTTATCTTATTGCTCAGCTGCTAGAGTCTAAAAAAAAATACTAATTGCTGAAATTCGAACCTTGCGGGGGCAAATTGGATCAACAGCTGCCCATCTGTCTCAAAAGGGGGCTGCTTACACTGTTAAAATAAGGAAGCATTAAAAAAAAATGCTCCATTTTATTGAATACGACTCCAACTTCTATTTTAGTTCTAATGAAGTTTGGAACTATGCGTCCAATTTAATTTATGTGGTGACAACTAATGAAAAACATAATTTAGTCATTGTTACGTTTTTGATTGAAGGAACCAATTATGCAAAACTTGTATCTCGTATTCCTGGATACGTTGTGGTTGATGCAAATGTGCTGTTTGAAAGGCCAATTTACCTTTGTGAACAGGTCGGTAAGCTTGTGGGCTTTAGTCATCTATTGTATTAAAATAACTGTCAGTATTTTGCCGATAAAAATGGTATACCATCTCTTCTGATTGATTTTATTATCCCTGCTGAGCTTACCGAGAAGAAACGCACTGTATTAAATAACATCTGCGGTGGATATGCCCACCGCTTTTGATTCCGGCTCTAACCCCTACAAACAAGACGGTGATTGGTAGGTTTGTTACCAGACCTATATCTCGGCTGCGTGGGTACCACTCTATACCTTCTTCGGCTTCACCGGAAAACAGATTATTAATAAACACGTTCATTAGCAGTACCCATTGTATGGGTAAGGCAGGAAGAAAGACCTCATGGTCCAGGGCAGAGCTGGATGAGGTTGGTTGTGTGCCAGTAGTATTTTATTTACAGAATGTTATCCGTGATGTAATGATAGGGATGCTGCGAATGTTTTACAACGACCCAACGCAAGTCTCAAATGAAGGGATATATTCTGTGGGAGGGGGTGTTCAGGGGTCTCAAACAAGGAAAGACATTGATGCGAAGCAAACCACAACATCACATGGGACAGGCGAAAATGATGGTAGTCAATGGTTGGTTTTTTCCCTTTATCTGATGCGCTTGTCTCTTCTTTGACTAAGCAAGTTGCGCCATTGAATTGTAATGGACCAAATTCTGTTGGGAAAGATGGTGCTAGAAGAAGTGCGGGCACAATAGAGCGACTGTATTCTTTAAAGCGCCATTTGATAGAGTATGTTGCCTTTTATTCATTCAAACCCGTTAAGGTGTGTGCTGGGGATCTTTTGTCCTTCATCTATGCAGGTGAATCCACTGATATCGAAAACGAAATAGAATGGCTCCGTACAGTGTCTAGTCAGCTTATAAGACGGTTGTGTAGGATTGCAAGGGAAATGCGGATAGAGTCGCGACAGCAGAAGACGTTGACCGGCGTTTCTGCGGCTATTGATGACAGTACTAAAAAGAGCCAGAGAGAAAACATTCCTCAACAGGTTCCATGTCTAGTCTCCTTACTCAACAGGATGCGGGATAATAACCTGGTTGCGCACGAATTTGTTATTTAATGCCTCTTGGAGGGGGGTGGACGTATTGTACATCAGTACAGACGTCTTACAGATACACTCGTAGAGCGTCACAAGCCATCTGTGTGTCCTTCCATTTTCAAAGAAGATGTATCGGGGCGACGCAAGGGTCAACTCTTTTCCTTGTTGAACTCGTTGAATGAGTATATTATGCTGCGTGAAAAAGTTCACACGATGGAAGCGGTGCTTTTTTGGGAACCAGAGCTAACTTAACGTGAAGTGGACGGGCCAGACACACATGCGTGGCAGCAGCGGCATGAACAACAAGAACAATATATATATTATGCAGTTGTAAGTGTTTAGTGGTTTTATATATTTATTTATTTATTTTTCCGCTGCTTTTGTTGGTTGTATTATTATTATTCTACTGTTACCGCTTGTAAATAACGGAAATAGAAGCAAAGACAGCAGCAACAGGGTAAAATACTCTTCTTTTTTATTTTGGGAGTTTCACTGAATCCACTTTAGTCACATATCGTTGCGCCGCCAGTTTCCATTTCCCTTCGGATTTACACAGACACATATTATTATATCAAAGTAAATATGTATGCAAGGATGATACGCACAGTTTACGTCACGCTTGTCCTGTGTTTTATTTTGATTGCACAGCCATCTGTGGGAGTAATCAACGCGGCCCGTCGTCCAGAAGGCGCTTACTGCGGGGATTATATCGGCATGGTCAAGGGACGCATCTTGGCCAGCGCAGCTTCTGAAAAGTTTGATATTTTGCTTGATATCTTTCATGAAAAGTACAGCTGCAAAAACGAAAAATACACCTTTGACGAGCGGACTAAACAGATAACGATCATTGGTGCAACGGACCCCAAAGACTGCCTGGGCAAGGTTTTGGTGGATAACGGGCTTTCACTCGCCGTGTCGTATGCTGAGAACGAAAACACCCTTTATCTGGACCTTGGCATTGTCGGGATCAAGCTCGCAGCGTGCTCGTGAGGACCACAAAGCGTGCGGCGATGTTCACGGGAACCAATGAGGACTGTTTGAGCTATGCCGGCCCGTGGAAGGCAAAGTAGGGATGGCCTCCCAGCGAGACAAGAGAAATCGCAAGGCATCCGCAACGACAAAAACGGGGGCAGCAAGGGGAGTGGATAGTTTTCGGGTGTGCGATGTTGCACCAGTTTGGTTTTGGTGCGTTGCCAAGCAGGAGGAAGTGGAAGGGAAAATATCAAATAAATAAAAAAATCACGAACAACATGAAGGTGAATGAAAAGGAATCGTAAGAAGAAGCGAGAGGTAGAAAGAAAAATAAAAGAGAATGTGCAGTGATACGTTTTAGGAAGTTGCGTTCCGTCTTCTGGCGGTGTTACCTCTAGATAAAGAGGAAACGTTTTAGGTAAAGTTTATTTATTTTATGCAACAAAGTGTTGAGAGAGAGAAGTGTTGCATTGCGATACTTCTATGTGTATACCTACCCCACAGGAGTGAGAAATTGCCAGGCGAAGACGCGAGCCACAGAGAGCGGCCATATCATGAGCATCGCATTGTGCACATTCCTTCCTCTCCCTCTCTCTTGACTGATTTTGGGTAATCATTATGATTTATTATTGTTGCCCTTTCTCTCTTTATCCATCTCTTTCTCTCCCTCTCTCTTTCTATCTCTCTCTTTCTGGTTTCCGCTTTTCCTCCTACAGCAGTTGGAAGCAACAAAAGCAGTAAAACGAGGTCGGGGGTTCCGAGCTGTGAAAAGAGTACAGTACAAATTGGTGCCGGATGTCGGCGGTGGTCCCACTGGCTGGGAAAATCGCCAAGAACCCCCAGCTGAAGTTGCTGGCCGCCCAAAGTCGCCACCTGACCTCCCGTTTTAGCGATATCTTTGCTGATGCCCGTGTTTGCACAACTCAGCGGAATAGCAGCCACTTCGAAGGCACCGTGTGTTACCCTCTGACTGATTAGTGCACACTTCGGCTGGCCTCGGAGACTGCGGGAAGTTCCTCGGAGGCCGTGGAGCGTGTACGTGGGGCCGCCCTGGCTTTATTTTCCTCCAAGGCAGACTTACATCACATGCTGCAGGCTGTAGATTCGGACGTGTTTGTGGAGCTCAGCGCGGCACTTCACAGCATGGACGCCAATGCGGTGATTCACTTGACGCGAGTAAACGACGTAAGCGCGCACGCTGCGGCAGGGCAGTTTTTGGTGAGTGTGACCGTGGAACTTCCGCTGAAAGATGATGCAGCAACCAGCAAAGTTGGCGAGCGAAGGGCCCACGAATACGACATCGTGAGTGATATTGCTGTTTGGCGCAGCAGTGGACAGTGTCCGCGTGATGCGGTGAAGCGGGGGTTTGGCCTCTCACTGGCAGAGCTCGATGGCCACGCTGTGGCGGAGCAGCACGGGAGGGAAGTGGAGGCTTGGTGTTACTTGCAAAGTGTCCAACGTGACGAACTGCTGCATGACTGGGAGTCGGTGGGCCTGTCAGCATTTCTCTCACGGTCGTTAGGTGATGCAGGTTCAACTGCAGTAAAGTGGCTGCCGCTTCGTGACGAGACGAACACGGTGCGGGTTGCAGGTTTGTCGAGGAGGGAGTCACAGTCGTTTACGCTCACTGCCAGCGATACCGCAGGTAACGAGGCTCTGTTGACGCTACTGCTTCCTTCACCACCGTCTGCATTTCAGCGTGTTCTGATGGGAGACTATGACGACTCCGCACGACTGCTGTACGCATCAGCGCTGGCGTGGCCGGAGAAATGGGTTGCGAGTTCGGTTCTCATGCGGCTCTGCACCATCTTGAACGCGAGTGTTCGCGGCACCGACGTTCTTCCGTGCGGCATGCAAGGTGCCGCATTGGCCTCGCAGGAGGCATCACTTTCGTCCGTCTGGCTGCATGCTTTGCGAATCAAAATGAGGGAGAGCAGCTCGGTGGGAGAGGCATGCCTCTCCTCTGCCTGGGGGCTGTTCCCACTGGGGCGAAGACGTTGCAGCTGGGGATCCATTTGCAGCTGGAGGTGAAACCTTCGGAGGGTGGGGCAGACTCACAGGCCCATCGAACGTTTGTAGTTAATATGCTGCGTGTGGCGAACGAGGCGGTCCGGCGAGGGAAACAGGCATCGAGGCTGCAGCCAGTTTCAGTCATCAACGCCGGTTTACTGGTGCACCTTTGGTGGCTTCTCGCCGCAATGGATGCGCTGACGGAGACGAGGCGTAACAATTCCTTGCGGGAGATTTCTTTCTGGTCCCCAGCCAAATTTCTTTTAGTACCCATGAGCAGCGAAAGCAGCAAGAGCTGTCGAGTTTTATTTGTCAACTCTTCGCTGCCTACGCGCGGGTTGTGGAGGCCTCCCGGGAACCTCTTCAACATGTTGAGTCTCTCGCCGTCGTCACTTGAGGTTCAATCACTGCCGTTGTGTCATCTCCGTGAAACTCCCGACAAAACTTGCAGGCGCCTTCTGCACGGTGTCGAGCCAGGCATAGATGAGGCGAGAGACAGTGAGCAAGAGGCCGACCCACGGAGAATCGTGGAGGCGGCAACCGAGCAACGAGAGACGTAAACAGGCCTCCTACTACTGTCCCGATCTGATCCTCATGATGCAAGAGATGCGGTTCGAACTTCACTTGCCCCAGCGGTCGCTTCCGACGCTGGAGTTCTTTCAGAAGGCCGTTCACGACGTTCCGCAGCGGGTGCAGGAAGTTGCGTTGGGAGCCTACGGTGACGTGCCTGTCTACACCCGTGTTGTGGCACACTGGGGACCCAACCTGCGTGTGAAAGTGGAAAGCGACATGGAAGGGGTGACGGACAAGGATGGTGTCTACCGTTTCATCTCCCCTCACCACAGCCGTTGCGGTCCCCTACGGCTTCTTTTGTCCGCCGTTTGCGCCATGTGCAAGCGTCTCTTTCCCCATCGCACGCCATTTCCATTCATTGGTCTCAACTCCCCTACCCGGCGTCGTTCGATTGACTTCTTGCTGTACTCCTGGTTCATGGCTCCCCCGCAGATCAGCTGTTTTGATATTGATATACGTGCCGCGCGGTTGACGGTGGCCAGAGATGCCGTGGCAAAGCAAAGCCCAGATACTGCGGAGATGGTGATTTCACGTCCCGTGAACAACTACATCATACGCGCCATGCTCTTCTACGATTTTTGTGGGCAGCGTGTGCTTTTCGCTGAGACACACGCCGCCACCGTTTGGGAGGCCGTGAAGCATGTCAACGAACTGGCTGTGTCACTCAACGTCCCCGTGTAGGACGCATTCCCACCGCGAGCGAAGATGCAGCGTAACTCTCACGGGTTCAATACTCCACCAGGCGGCTACGACTCTGAGGTTGCACTCCTGCTAAGGGCGCTAGTGGGTGCAACCCACTCCCATGCCCGCCTGTGTTTTGTGCGCACAAATGACCCCACCGCCTCGTGGCTAGAGGGCACGGTGGAGGTGCAGGTGCCACCCCAGCAAATTCGCTGCGCCGCCTCTGTGACAAAAGCACGGGGCGTGATCCCAACTCTTGCGGCGGCGGCCCCACCCAACATGATGCACGGCCGTGTTTCATACATGCACTTGTGCAGTTTGTTTTCTCTTCGTTTCCTTCTTATTACACTCGCATGTCCCCTCTGCAGGTCATTTGCGCGTATCCTTTGCCACCCCATCCTCTCTCTGTGGCATCACCTTTGTTTGTTGCGTAGCACGTGGGCGTCGATCCTTAATTATTTTTTCCCCCCTCCTCCTCCCGAGGCGAGCGAGGAGCAGTGCATGGGCAACTCAGGCAACCGCGGGGCCCAATGAGCACGGCGCGCGCCACCAGCGGCTCTTCTGTATTCACCGTGTTGTACGCTCCTACCAACGGCAGCGCCCGGCGGCGACGGCGATGGCTGTGCGGAAGGATGTATGTCGGGTTCGACAGGACGGTGTTGGTGGATGATGAAAGCCAGAAGGCAGTGTACGTTGTGTCGGGAACGGGGATTCGCCCCAACACGGGGTACGCAATGATGCAGGAGGCAGGTAATGGGGCGGAGTGGCATTCCGGAACGGAGCTGGCACTGCCGAGGTACGCCGTGCAGATTGAGGAGGTGATGCACCTCCACCTTTTACCGTATGCACCATTCGACGGCAGTGGCAAGAAAGAAGTAGTGGAGCAGAACGAAGCGGCATCTCCACCGTACGGCGACGGGAGTGGTGATTGTAGGACGGTAACATCGGCACGGGAGGAGGCAGACGCAGCTGGGGCGGTGACGCCATGCCATGCCACTCTACGGACCGTAGTCGTTCCCACAGCTGTGCCTGCTGCCGGGACTGTGATACTGAAAAAAAGGAGGGGGAGCGGGCCGCCCCCAAGGCGTTCGTCCCAAGAACTACTGCAGCAGCTTGAGAATGCGTATCCGCACTTCTTTGCTTGATGGTTTGTTTTTTTTTTGCTTTTCCGTTTAGCCGCGCGGTTTCCTTTGTATGACGTTTGGGAAGACGGAGGGTGGTGGCGTGGTTCGTGTAGCTTCTTCACATGCATGCCTACAGAGAAACGGGGGGAGGGGGGACGTGGGTTGTTGCGTCTAATGGAGTAAACTCTTGCAATGGTTCAGTCACTAGTTTGTTGGTGTTGGGGGGGGGTATTCATGTCTCTCTTCTTCTGCTTGTTTTTTGCGCATTTTTTTTTTTCCCCCACCTTGTGTGCCAACGCGTGTGTGTTGGCGGCAGCAGCGGTTCAGAGGCTAGCGTTCACATACGGCATAGATGGAGGCCTTCACCACCACCCACGCCTCCCTCTTCAGGAACCCCGCAGAGGATGCAGTTCCGTCTTATGTGCTCTACAGCCCACAAGGTTCAAAGCCGCTCGCTGGTCTGCAGGTTGAGGGAGGATCTATCAGTCGCTACTACGACAAGGAAACCAGGTCGCAGCTGATTCGCGCCTCGCCCTCCGCCCACATCTCATTTCTGCGCACCACCTCGTCGCGTGTGGGAGGCAGCAGCATCAGCGGGAATGGTGGCGGTTTGTCGGCTGCATCACAGCGTGTGGTTATCTTGCAGATATGCTGTGAGGAGTCGGCACGCACTGTGTTTTCCCTCACGGTGGAGTTGACGCTGCAGGATAAGCTGGGCCGACATCGCCTTGTATTTAGTAACACCTTCCAGAAGCTGCAGCGTTGCGCGCAGCATGTAAAGGTACCGCTGCGTTGCGTTGCCCCAGGGGTGTGGTCAAACATCGTTCTCGATGTGCCTCAGATCCATGCAGCGCTGTTTGCCAGCTCAGGTGGACGTGTCTCCACTGCAGAGACGATGAAGTCGCGCAAGCTGCTCTCTGTCACTCTCAGCTGCAGCAACATCTGCCGCATACGACGGGTTCTTGGTATGCCGCAGCTCCCTCCGTCACACGGAGACATGGCAGCGGCGGAGTGGCCCTTGTCACTGCGTCTGCCACCGGAGGTGCCTGCGTGTTTCTGGATTATTCGCACGTGCGAGGAGGCGTTTCTGCAGCAGGGAATTCCATCAGATGCTCCCCACCACCGCGTTGAGTCGGTGACGCCCGCGGGCTCCGCCCCAGGCCCCGCTCGACGCCACGCCTGTGCACCACAAACCTCTGCCGCGTCCCGCCCCTGGCGTGCCATTTCATGCCTTTTCCGCAGCGTCGGATGTCGACGCCGGTGCGCTGCATGACGTCTTGGAGACGTCGGGCTGCGGCGGCGGGGGCCCGCGCGTGGTTCCTACGAACGCAGCCGCAGGACAAGCCTGTCGTGCTGATTTCCCTACGAGGGGCTACCGAGCGGACGGGCGCCAACCGAAGCGAAACAGTGGGACACACGAAGTGGCAACGCTGGCGGACTCGACACCCTTTATGACGCCCACGCGCGATGCTGGCGTGCAAACGCCGGCTCCTTCAGCGGCGGCGGAGGGGCTATGGGTGGTTGGAACGAGTTTGTTCGGCGCGCAACCCTCCGCAAGCCAGCAACCTGTGGTTGTGGGTCCCACTGACATGAACCGCGTCTTGTTTGGCGAAGTCGCAGGGGAGGAGGAGGAGGAAGAAAAGCGGTGGCCAATGGGAAGCGGCGGCGGCAACCATGGTAGTAGAGGCAAAACCGCCCCGGTGCCGGCAGCCGCGGCAGAGGCACCGCCGGCGCGGCGTTTCAATTTCGAAGAACAGCGAGAGAAAACTGAGAAGACGGCCGTGCCAGGGACGGCGCCCACAGACCCTGATTTGGGCGATACGGAAAGAATGCCGCCAGGTACGCAGGCGCCGTCTGTTGCCAACTATGCGAAGACACTCAATTTGATGCGTGAACGCGTTAAATGCATCCAGGCGTTGATTCATGAGAGTGGAGGGCAAGACGCCTGCCGCGGCGACGACCGCAGTGCCACCAGCGAGGGCAACAGCAAACACAGCCACAGCCATGGCGGCCACGAAGTGAAGGACAATCATGGAGGAAGGTCGCGGCTCCACTCGTCGGGCGAAATCCAACGCTCGCCCCGTTGCGGCAGCGGGGTGCAACCACAACAGCAACAAGGGCTTTGCTCGTCACCTCGTCTTTTTTGCTCCACAGCAGCGGAAGCAGCGCGTAGAGGAAGTAGACTGCTCTGCCTCCGCGCACCACGCACAGACCCCTCGCGACAAAACGCGCAGGACTGCTGGGGTAGGCGCCCATATGCACAGCGCCACCTCAAGGGAAGAGAAGATGCACGGGGATGAGGATGGCGACGATGAGGACGAGGGTTTTACGGTAAACGTCTGCATGTCAGAGGACCCCGGGCGTCCAGTCGTTGTGGTGCCTGGGGATTCGACTGCGCTTAGCCAAAAGCCACCCGTCACACCCTCTCGCCCGAAGTCTGGCGAGGTAGATAGGCTCTGCTTCGACTCCCTGTATTCCGAGAATGGATCACTGGAGCCCCCGCCGCTGTGGCCCTTTCACGGGGCAATGAAATCGACGCAGGACAACAGCCTGGTGCTTTCCGACCCGTCGTCTCTTGACAACGCTGGGCCCGCTACCTCTGCTACTGCCGCCCCGCGCGCGGAGCAAGCAAGGCCGACGCGTGCTACACATCAACGCGGCCGACTTGGTGAGTGGGCGGTGGGTGCGACCGCGAACGCGGAGATCTCGCAGGCCCGCACAACCGCGGCGAGCAATTCACCCCGCCCATCGCAGCAACCCAGCCACAGCGCGGACGAGTTGGACAGCAACATCAGCGCGGCAGACTACAGACGGCTGCCCGTAACTAGCGCTGGCGCATGCACCATGTCTGCGGCGACTGCCGGTCGTTTTATTCGTGTGGAAAGTAATTGTGGCACCGATGGGAAAAATGACGAAGAGGAGGAAGCGCACCCACCGTTGTGCGCCCCCTCGTTCCTCACGAAATTTCCTTCGCAGCAGCATCCGATACTGCCGTCTACATCGCGGGGGGGACCTTCCCTCCCGCCATCGTGTCTATCGCCGCCTTCGCTTCCCGCAATGGCCAACGATGAAAGTGCGCACATGGGCGGAACGAAGGGCGAGGCAGACCAAACCGACACCCCTTCTCGAAGCACGCTCCGACCTCCGCCACGCCCTTTTTCTCCTCTTCGCCTGCCGCCTGAAAACGGGAGCGATCCGCTAGTCTTTGACCCTCTTCTGCGGTGCTGTCTCGACCTGAGGTCCAATACGTACGTGATGGCGGCGAGGCCGCCACCAAAGGGAAAAGCGTAAACCAAGAAAGGTCCGAAAAAAAAAAAAATTTCTTTTGCTACGTTTGCTTATTTGTGAACTGTTTTTCTGCTGTGCCGTGTTTGTTTGGAGCGTCTCTCTCTGAAATAAAAGTGTGGGCGGCTGCGGCTCGGCGGGTGGCGGCCACCTCGCAAGTTGCCGGCGGGCCCGGCCGCCAGGAAAGGCCTCTGCGGATATGTTTGTCTGCCGGTGTGTGTCTGTGCGCGGTGGGTGCGCTGAGAGAAGCTGTGCTGTTCCGCTGTTTTCCTTCTTTGCTTTGCAGGAGTAGGGGGGCAGAGGGAGGCCCGGTTCAGGCACTTGTTGTTTTTATTTAGAGCGGTGGGGTGCTGTATGCGGCACGCCGCAGCGGCGCCCGGCGGCGAGCGCGGCGGCCGCCTTGCCGCACGTAATCACAACATCGGCCTCTTCCTGCAGTGAGCTCAGCCGGCAAAGCGGGTCCGCGGGGTTCAGGAGCAGCGCGCCGCCCGCCTCCAGCCATGCCCGGCCGTCCAGCAGCGCCGCCACACTCGGCTGCCGCCGCCGTGCTTCTGCCGCCAGGGTAAAAAGATGCCACGGCTGAAGAAAACGCTGGACGGCGTGCAGGTATGCTGCCGCATCGTCTGTCGCGCCCCCGGCGCCGGGGAGGCCGAGCACCACGCGCCTCCGCCGTGGGGCGCGCTCCTCTGCTGAAGGCGCCGCCAGAACGTCCGCCAAAACGGCCCTCGCAGCCGCCAAAACGGGGAAGGCGGCGTCGCCTAGGAAGGTTCCGCTGCGCACCACCCTCTCCTTCACGCCTTCAAGCAGCTGCCGCCCGCCAGGCGAGGGGGCAAGC